ATTGTACTAAATTAAATTATGCCAAGGTGAATAAGGCCCTAATTCCTACCCATTTTTCTTAATTCTACTTTATTAAAATTAGCAAATCAGACAAGTTAAATTCATTCCTTTACATATCTGTTCACAATAACACTATCATATTAATCAATGCAAGTATATATCATATGGCACATAACATAATCACATAATTAACAATAAGCAAATAATTAACTTAATTAATTGCTTAATTAAAGAGGTAATTGTCACACATAGTGAGATTATACGGGGTCTCTGTGACGATTATTTCGGATAGAGATCTGCATTTCACGGCTCGGTTGTGACAAAGCCTACAGAGTGCGTTGGGCACGAGATTGACCTTTAGCATTGTGTATCATCCTTAGACTGACGGGCAGCCAGAGCGTACCATTCAGCTTTTAAAGGATATGCTTCGGGGTTGTGTCCTTGACTTTAAGGGTTCGTAGGAGAGACACTTGCCCTTAGTAGAGTTTGCCTATAATAACAATTTCCAATTGAGTACTGGCATGACACCATTTGAGGCCTTATATGGTTGACCAAGTAGATCCCTTGTGTATTGGGTCGAGGTGGGTGATGCACCTATGTTGGGTCCAGAATTAGTCCGAGAGACGACAGAGAAAGTTGCACTTATCTGTAAGAGGTTGGTTACGGTTCAGTGTCGTCAGAAAAGTTATGCCGACCGTAGGAGGAGACCTTTGTCTTTTGAGGTGGGAGACCATGTATTCTTGAAAATATCACCTAGGAGAGGTTTGATGGGATTTTGAAAGAGCGGGTAGTTATCCCCTCGATTCATTGGGCCTTTTGAGATCCTTGAGCGGATTGGAGAGATAGCTTATCATTTGGCCTTGCTGTCACGGCTTTTCGGTGTTCATGATGTGTTTTATATTAGCATGTTTCGGAAGTATGAGTCGGATCTATTGCACGTGTTGGATTGGACCGACTTAAAGATAGATGATTATGCCTTGTATGAGGAGAGACCGGTGAGAGTTTTGGATACCCGGAACCAAGTCTTGTAAGGTAAGACAATTCCCTTGGTTAAAGTATTGTGGAAACATCACGGGTTTGAGGAAGCAACTTGGGAACGTGAGTTGGAAGTTCGTGAGAAATATCGGGACTTATTTGTTGATGTTCGAGCATGTATTGGAATTTTGATTATGTTAATGAAATATGAAAGCATTGTATATGTTTTGAGAATATAGAAACATTGTATATGTTGGATATGTTTTGTAAACATGGGTTTAATATAAAACATTGTATATGTTTTTGGAAAATGTGAACTATACTTTCAATATTAAAACTTGTGTATCGAGTTGATGGGATTGAATGACTGGTGGATAGGTTATGGTATTGAAATTGATTTACAATCATTATGGTAATTGGTTAAAACTAGGCTTTTGAAACTTAATTTGTAATTTTGGGGACGAAATTCCTTAAAGGGGGACGTTATAGCAATTCTGGTTTAGACCTAACCCATTTTGTATCATGGACTCGGGTTTCATAGTTTCGTATTGTTGCTTATGTCTTGCTCTCCTTATACATCCTTAGATTTGGTTATTGGATTGCAGTGGTTGTGTTTGGAATAGGTTGGTTGCTTGGTTTTCAAACCTTTTGTTACCCAGAATTTTGCTCATCCGCTTGAGCGGCACTTCTTGCGCTCGAGCGGGTTTTGTGAACTCTCAGTACTTTTATAGGTCCACAAAACTACTGGGAGAGTGTATTATATGCTTGAGTGGCATTTTTTATGCTTGAGTGGGTGGACGCTCAAGCGGTCTTTCTTGAGCTCGAGCGTTGGTTTGTCATCTGTAAAACTACTAGATGTGTGTATTTTGTGCTCGAGCATCACTTCTTGCACTCGAGCGGAACAACTTATTGTGTTTGACGCTCGAACGTCACTTATTGCGCTCAAGCGGATTGTGCGTATATCAATTCGTAGTAACACCTTTTTACATTATTTTTTCGTATCTTTTTGTCCCAAAACCCTAGATCGATACCTTCTCTCTACATTTTACCTAGATCCATTGGTGTCTCTACCCTAGTGTCTTTAGGAAAAAGGTAGAGCATCTAAAGAGTTTCATTTTAATCCTAACAAAAGTCGGTTTCGACGTCTTTGAAATTTTCTCCTTGTTTTACTTGTCCTCTAACTTTGAGGTATGAACTTTCTACGCTTCCTATGATTTTTAGCTTAATTATTTGTTGATTGTGTAAATAATGTTGGGATTTGGAAGATTTTAGACAAACCTAGGGTTTTTGTTTAAAATCAAAAGAGGAATTTTCAAATGAAGGTATTAAAAATGATTGTGGGTGTAGATATGAAGATTTGTTGTGTCAAATTTGTTGATTTTGACACATGGATTGGATTTGAAAGAAAATTGAGTTTTGCCCTAAAATGTTTCAAATAATTATTTTGTATAAATAACGAAATTGGTATGGGGAATGTGAAATTGGATAGATATTTATACAAGTGGTGGAATTAGATACTTGTTATCTCTCACCTATGGAAATTTGGATAGTTTATCTATTTTAGAGATTGTATATCTGTTTTGGGCTATCGGTGAAGGGTAGTTATGATTGTTGTAGAAATTGTAAGAGGATTAGGTGAATTGAAACTAATCTCTTATTGATTGTCATTGAATATAACTGTGTTTTAATATATTGTATATGTATGATGCTTGAGAAGAGAAAGAGGATGTATTCCATGTTTGAGAGAAGAAAGGGGATGGACTCCATTGAATTAAGTTGGCCAGCTTATCTAGGATGAAAGTCACAAAAACCGCGTGTATACATTGGTGCCGATTCCCTCAGACGAAATTTTCGTAAAATGACAAATTGAAATGTTTGTGTAATGATTGTACTGGTTAGAGAACCACTGAGTTGTAGCTTCAGTTGGGTTGTCTGGATAACAATGGACTTGACTCATGGATTTAAGTGAAATGAATTGTCATGAAATGAATTAAGATAAAATGACTTCAGATATGAAACTTGGCATATTATGATCTTGTAACAATACGAATGATTTTATCATGGGCACTATATATGCATACCATACTTATATCTTTGTTAAGATTCATATATTGTGTTAGATTATTTCTACTAAGCCGCTCACCCTGCTTGGGAAAAATCATTTTCAGGTGCTGGTGATATGCCTCCGCTAAGGACTTAGCTTGGGAGGATTGTGGAGCTAAAGGCTCAAAGATGTAAGCCATTAGGGCATATGAATATCTGTTTAGCTTCCATTTCTTATTATTTCTTGTAACACATGTTGTAGATTCAGGATGAACGATTTATGAATGTGTATCGCATGTGTTACCTTTTGTAGATTACCCTAATTAATGAAAGCTTTTATTTTATTTATATCACATTGTACTAGTGGTTGGAGTTGGTTTATTCTAATTATTTTGCGGGCGTTACAATGATGTGTACTGAGAATAATGATGGTGTGTAAATAGAATTATCCATAAAAGTAGGTTTCTTTAATTGTAAAATTACACATTTGGACAATCCGCACTATAAAGGCTTTGAATTTTTCTTTATTCTGGAACAAATCCCACATTACGAACAAAAATGTGACACTCCAATAACATAACACTCCAATGTAACACACTAAAACAATTCTTAATGTATTTAACACTAAAAAAAAACTCCTTAATATACTTTTCTCAAACTTAACATTTTAATGTAATACATCAAAAAACTCCTTAGTGTATTTTTTCCCACACGTAACATTTCAATCAATGTAATCCCATACGTAATACTCCAATGTAACATATTTTAATGTAACACAATAAAAAACTTCTAGTGTATTTTTTTCAAACGTAATATTCACAGTTTGAAATTATACATTTATCCAAAGTTATTAAGAAGTTTTGGTACTTCTTTTAGAATGGTTTGAAGAATCCCACATCATTTGTGAATGGTTTGAAGAATATTACATTTTTTTTTGGGGAGTGTTACGTTTAAAAAAAGTACACTAAGAATTTTTGTGTGTGTTACATTCGAGTATTACACTAATAAGTTTTTTTTGAAGTGTTACGTTTGAAAAAAGCATACTAAGGCCTCGTTTGGCAAGTGGCTGTTTTAGCCTAAAAGCAAAAAAGTTACTAAGAAAATCAAAAAGTTAACAACTTATACCAAAAAGTTAAAAATTCTCTTTTCTCTCTATTTTTTGCACATCTTTTCGTAAAATGTCAAAAAGTTATCCCAAATATACTAATTTTTTTTACCTCATATTTTAGCCAAAAATTCAAAAAATTACTAAAATATCATATTCCCAAACGAGGCCTAAGAATTTTTTCTGGTGTGTTACGTTTGAGTGTTACATTAGATTGTTATATTTTGCTATTATACATTTGTCCAAAACTTACTAAGAAGCATTTGCACTCCTTTTGAAAGGTTTGAAAAAGCCTACATCCTTTTGGAATGTTTAAAAAATCTCATATTTCAAGTTATTTGTCTATTCCTTTTGAAATATTTTTCAAATAAAAAAGATTTTTATATAAAAATTTATCCAAAATTTAATTTCCATAGATTATGCACCTTACTTTTTTAGTACAAAAGAAAAAAAGAGAAAGAAACATAACAAAAATAAAGATATAAAAAAAGAGAAAGAAACATAACAAAAATAAAGATATAACTGTAAATTTAATTTTTAAATAATATATTGAATATATATTTTCAAAATCAATGAGACTAATTAATTTATAAAAAAAAATAGGATTAAATTGATCACTTTTCCTTAATATGAGATTTATAGATAGATTTTTCTATAAAAAAAGGTTAGAGAAAAAATGTTTTTTATCAAAAATACTAAGTAGTTTAAAATTTTATAACTCAAATGATTCAAATCACTCAAAATAACATTATTTTAAATGTAAATAAATATAAAATGACATCATTTTAACAAATTTAAACCATTTAAATCATAAAATTTTGAGCTACTAAATGTTTTTCTTTTTATTTATAAATTTTTAAGCAGCCATAAAAACGAAAGGGCCAAAAAACCTTATAAACCCTAACCGAAGTTGGAGCCTGACTAGCGTGTGAAACGCAGGAACCATTTCTCTTTTCTGAAATGGCCGGACCGTTGCTTCGCTCTCTCTGGTCTACCACCAGAAAATCTCTATCTTCTTCCTCCTCCTCCCTCAAACCACTGGACGCTTACGCTCGCGGCACTGGCCTCGCTCGCGCCTTCTCCACCGCCGTGCCAGCCACCGCCGATGCCGCCGCTCCGAGCAGTGCGCTGGATCCCGGCCGGCTTCGGAACGTGGCGGTGATCGCCCACGTCGACCACGGCAAGACCACCCTCATGGACCGCCTCCTCCGCCAGTGCGGCGCCGATATCCCCCACGAGCGCGCCCTTGACTCTATCAGCCTTGAGCGTGAGCGTGGTATCACTATCGCTTCCAAGGTTCGGAACTTTCGTTGCTTAAACCTTAAATGCATCTGTTTGGTTGCTGAGAAAATGGAGGAGAAAATAAAATACAAATGAGTATCTGTTGTATGATTTCTGTTGCTTCAATTTTCTAGCAACCAAACAGAGCGTAAAGAAAATCTGAATCTTTTGGTAATTGGTTATCTGTTCTGTTTTTTCACGTGTTGCTGTGCTAGTTTTAGGGGTTGGTTTTGTTTCATTCTTGCGGAATTTAAGCTCTGTTGGTTGATGTGATTTTTTTTTGAATAAGATGTGACTGCCAATAATTTCAATTTGGAACTTTTCCTTGCATGAAACCTGAAAAGCTAAAACCTTTGCAGCTCAACTCACTATGATATCTGAATTTTATTTATTTATTTATTTTTATGACATTTTGAAATCAAAGCAAATCTATAGATTTACATTTTTTTAATTGAAATATAAGATTGGTCATTCTTTCAAACATACTTAATTAACATTGGGCAAATTACACAAAAACCTCGGGTTGTAGACAAATACAGGGATGACACCCCAAACTTTTTGAAATTACAGGAACATCCATTGCCAGTGACATCTCTAAATGAACATGCTGATTTTCCTATCCTTCATATATTATATGCATTCTAATATGCAACTACATCATTTGCTGATCACCACTAGTGTCAAGCACATGCGATGCACGAGCGGAACATAAGTAGAGACATAGAAAATAAAAGCCATCATAAAGGATATAGATCAAAATAAAGATTGATGAGACTATAGCCATATATATACCAATGATATATGAATATTATATTAGGTAAAGTTAACCTTTCCAAACTTAATAAAAGATACATATTAAGTAAATTAGTGTCATAATGGAAATCTTAGTTTCAGAAACCTCATAATGGGGGTGTCAAATTTGTGATTCAGAGCTATAATCTAGTTAGAATCACGTTGTCTACTGGGATGGAGCCTTTTGAACGTATGAATTCCAAAGAAACAGAAGAAAACTAACAAGAGAAAATTTGCCGCAACCCTAATATTTTAGGAAAACGTCAAATCTTATAAAAAAAAAAATTTGGGTGCAAATGATACCAATCTTTAATATTTATTCATATTTTAACATATATATTACAACTAATAAAAATATATTGGCATATGAAATATATAAGCGAAATGGGAACTTACTGGACTGTTATGATGTTATGATCCCACGTCAAAGCACAAAATGTTTGTTCTTGTGAGTATAAGCTTCTTGGGCACCCTCCCTTTGTAAGTCGGTTTCAAGGGTGAGTTCTACCAAAGAGGTTTGTATCATTTGGTATCAAAGATTGGATGCATCTATGCAAGTATGAGATCAGATGGTTCTGGTTTGTAAAGCCACATAGGGGGCAACCTATAGGCTGAATTATGATATCAAGGTGCTGAATACTGATAGGTGAGTGCAGCCGCCGGAAGGGAAAGCTACTATTGGGTCAATTTCAATAGAGTGGGTCTCCGTGGATGTTGGCTGTAGAGCGCGATGGTATGTTACAATCCTACATTGAAACATAAGACTTGACATTGTGAATACCTTTGCAAACCGGTTTTCAAGGGTGATTCCTACCAGAGGGGTTTGTATCATGACCCACAAGGCGAATGTACACCAACTTTTTAATTTTATTTGTTTTGTTTTTATTTGTTTATTATTTTGTTAACCTCAAAAGGATATAATAACTCATTTGATAAAATAATAATTTATTATATTCTTGCTATGCACTGTTCAATACGGTTTATGTATTGCAACATATTGCTCCAAATTGACATATAATGATATAAACAATGACTTAGAAAATATGAAGAAGAACAACTCCGAAAAATATGAGGAAGAAGGAATATATTTCTGTTATATTCAAAACTTCTTATCTTACAAGACCAAATGACACTCCTTATATAGGAGATATTACAAACATCATCATAACCCATTATATGCCACTTACATATTATATATTACCACTATCTTACCACCAACACCACTATCATATTCTAAACATGCCACTATCTACCAGCACTCCCCCTCAAGCTGGTTTGAAGATATCTTCCATAGCCAGCTTGCTAGTCAGCTTATCAAATTGCTTCTTGTGTAGTCCCTTCGTTAGCACATCAGCTAATTGTTCACCTGTTGGAAGGTAGGTCATACAGATTATGCCAGCATTGATTTTCTCCTTGATCATGATGCTACCAATTCTCTGTTTCATTCCTGTCCCTTTGGATAGAATGGTTTTGGCACCTACTGACCAAATAGGATCTGCATCTTCGGGAACAAGTGCAGGAGTTTTTGCTCTCTGCAATGAGACAAAACAGAAAAGGTTTAAGGCGGCAACATCTTGTATGAAAGAGATGCAACTCTAAGCTCCAGAGTGTATACATCCTTAAAAAAACCACAAAGTTTAATGAGTATCAATCTAAGAAGCATAGACACTTCTAAGAACGTAATGTGCCGTGTCCGACACTCATCGAATACCTATGTAGCACTAGTGTGAGTATGGATACTGGTACGAGTACGCTAATACGGCAAAACCTTTCCAAAAAAAAAAGGATATGGGTATGGTTGGGGTACGGTTGTGGTATGTCAATAAATTTTTTATTTTTCATAGTTTATTATTTGAGATTCAATCTACAAATCAAAGTTCAATACCAAAATTAAAACGAAAATTACAAAACCAAAAGAGAATTCCCAGTTCAACAATACCAATATCAAAGCAAAGTCCTATTGCTATTTTAATGCCATTAAATAGGAAAAATTACAAAAACTAAGTTTCATTCCCAAAGCAAACTAGAAAAATTTGGAAAGTTGAAAAATCAATTCTCACTTACATCAACGTCATTATTGAACAATACATCTTTCATCTTTGACACAGCAAGTAAAAGATTTGCAATTTCAAGTAAATCATAAATCTCTAATAAATTAAATGTATCACTATCAATGTCCCATAGCTTGGTGTACCCCCGATGCACCCATCATGTACCTACGAAGTACCCACCTGCTAAAAAATGTATAAAAACTACCCGGTACGTATTTCATGTACCCGATACGCGTGCAACCCTAATGGTACGCGTACCAGTACCCGTTATGAGTATGGCAATATTTTCGGAGTACCCGTGCTTCATAGCTGGACACTTTCCAACACTTATACATGAAACATATTACGAGTTTGAATAAATAACTTGGAATCCAATGATACAACAAAAATTAAGTAAATTTATACCTATTCTCCTCCTTTATACTTCAAAAATGAATATATTTTACTTAAATATTTATATATAAGACATAATAATTATTTATCCTTATATATGACATATATTTGATAAATACATGAATAAATTATATATTTTGCAGAAGTCCTCAACGTGTCGTCTCCTACATTTTTTGAAAATTTACATGTCGGTGTATCGGTGTGTCAATGTCATGTCACATGTTCGTGCTTCTTAGGTATCAATAATGGAGTGAAGGTAATTAAACCCCTCAGCAAAATGCACAAATTCATCCATTCAAGCACCAAAAGGAAGCTTAATTCTAAAAAAAGTTTGTCTATGGTAACTTACAAAAAAGGGGAGCTCCCTAGAGTCACCATCTTCAATTATTTGAGAGATCCACTTGATGATCTGCCAACCAAATAAATATAAACTCAACGTGAAAAGGTACACTAAATAAAAAAGAATGTTGCATTTGCGTTAACTGCTCAATACATAGTGAAATATATCTCAATAATTAAACCATGTAGTAAAATCCATCTCACAACAGATAGAAGGCCAAACCTCTGAACTTTCTTCGGAACCATTGTACCTCGCAACAAGTTGTGATGCAGGATCCACATCGTCATTCAGAAATGCCTCCAACATGTTTTTTGGTTTTTTTTCCTCATTTAATACTATCTTCTGTAGCATTCCTTTTGTGTGTACAATAATTAACTCTGGTATATTTGTTATATCCCTCCTAGGTCCACATGTTTCATAGCTGTTCTCTATTTGAGTGTGGAAAAAACAATATCGTTGGAGAAGAAGAGAAATTTAGTGACTAATACAGTTGCAAAAGATCATTTGTTAAATGTTTCAGCGTAGACTAGTCCATCATGACCATTATTAATTAAAATATTATAATCCATAATAGTAAGCACACATACTTCTACATAAAAAAGAAAAAAAACCTACAAATGGTTCTAGGAATAACAGTGGAGAGATGGAAAGATCATTCCTTCAACTGAATAAAGCAGAAGCAAACAACCTCTAATCATATGTACCATGCAGCTGCAATGACGTCTTACACAATTGCTATTGGAGTTTATGAATAATTTTCACCATTGCAATACATGCCTCGTATACGCAACCTGGTGAACTTTAGTTTATTTTAATTATATAACACCTTCTGTGAGAGGAATCACATTCTGTTTCCTACACTACATAGCTTGACCTACAGAATAGTATTATTTGTATAGCTGCGGTGGGCGAATAGAAAACGAACGGTAATAGACTACTTGGTCTGAATGGGGTGCACAATTGGCTAGTGACGGAGGCAAGAATGAGAGACTGCGGGCAGGAGGTAGAAGGATAAAATAGTTTGCACTGTGGATGTGTAGGTTATGGTGTGTTTTTTGGTATTTGTGTTTTTTGTTGTTTTTTTTTATTGTTTTTCTTGTTAAAAGCTGATCTTAGGGGTTGAGGCACTGACCGAAGAGGTGTGATAGTGAAGTGTGTGTGCTAATAGAGATACTGAGACTAGATTTATGTGGGTGTTTGGACATCAAACCGTTGGGCCAAACAAGTTGGACGGTATGTAAAAAAAATATTATCGTTTTTTTTTATTTTTATTTTTTTATTTTATATAATATAATAATGAACAATTTTGATTATTATAGTAAATTTATGAAAGATTTGTTGGCTGGCAAGCTTAATGGTTAGGGTGTAATATATTATTTTGGTATAATTATATATATAAAATAAAAGACATGGGTTCGATTAGTAATTTTATTATAATGGTGGCTCAGAATGCTTTGGACAAAATCAGTTGGATGTTGGGGCACAGGTGAGTGGGATAGAAAATAAGGAAATTTGATATTTAATGATGGGTCGGGGCACAGTTATTTATTTATAAATTGATAGAGGTATTGTGAATGTTGTGTGTGTGAGAGTGTCATTTATGATGGTGTGGCTGATGTTGATTTTTGATGTTGATTTGATATATGATTAGGCAGTTGATTATATATAATTAAATGGTATTGGGCGGTGGTTGGTAGGGTGGTTGATAAATGCTTGTGTATCTCGCTCTGAATCGCTTGTCCTCCAAGTGTAAATGTGTGCGGTGTGTTCATTACTTAATTGTTTGAATGGATCGTGGTCCTACTAACTTATGGTGATCTATAGGTAAGTGGTGTGTAAGCCATTATTGTTAGAAGGTCACTGATGATTGCTTTGCTGTGGACTTTAGTTTTAGGATGTGTTTGGTACTTAGAGAAAGTGTGTAATGTCGGAAGACTCGAAAGGGAAAAACATAGCCCTCACGTAAGAAAGCTATAGCGTTGGACTCTCGGCGGATAGAGCTGGAATTGTATGACAACTTTTCAGAACGATTTCAGACGAAGTTTATGTGTTATTCAGTGGGTGTTGTTGTTCTTTCATCGACTACGGCCCTTGTTCACGCTTCGACTCCAAATAGAAAAGCTCTCTCCACATATACACCTCTCCGTCTTTACACTATAAGCAAATACGTTCGGTAAGTTATTTCTGCAACGCAGTGAAAACTAAAAATCGGTTTGATCTAGTTGGAGCTTTTAACCACTTCATCATCAGTATTGGAGATGGTCCCAAACTACAGTTTAATAGGCGTGATATAGCGTTCTCTGGGCTTAAATAATATCACAGAGACTTATACAACTCCAGCTCTCTCCTAACGATTACCAAATTCGTCTCCATGGTGTATAATATAGACAATAGCAAATTTCAAGTGGCTTTCATATTAAATTATGGCGCCAAGAACGGTACTTCCCTACAATTGAATTGAAAGTACAATTATAGTAGCAGCATCACCTGTCCTGAACTTCTTGGAAAACAAGGCTAGTCTAGGACACAGGACTGCTGCTTATGAGCTATTATTGATTTATGTTTACTTTATTGCAGAGACGTATGCATAGTAACAGATTATGAGAGAACGGGTGTTGGGCTAGTGAGGACTTTGGTTGGCTAAGGAAAGATAGAGACGGGATAGAAATAATAGAACGCGAACACTCAGGTTGAGAATCCGGCGGACGGCTTAAAAGGTGAGGTTGACCATTACGTACACCGTCCTGGATGACCTCGAAATATAACTCTCTCAAGGTATCCTCAACCCTTGCTCTGGATTTCCAATGAACAAACTCAATTCCACTGCTCTATCATGAATTTAAATAAGGAACTGATATGTGGCTGATGATATGATGTGAATTACAGATGGGAACCTATTGCGCTCATCATGTGGTGATATAGGAGAGGTAATCTCTCGAGGTGATTAGTGAAGATAGTGGCGGTGGGGTAGGCTAGACGATTAGTAAGTAGAAGGTAGGTATTATCGGTGATGATATATTTGTTTAACAGGTGTTAAATTTTCTATGCTAGGTGATACCATGTAAATTAATAAATTGATAGAGAGAGATAAATATATATGTATTATTGATTGGTGGAGTTATATATTAAGTAGTGGAATAATATTTGAGTCTCCAGTTGATTCATGATTCTATGGGGCATATTATAGAAGATGGTGAGTGTCCTTGTAGTAAGGTAAGGAGGTAGGGTGAAGTGGAGGTGGTAGTGGTGTAGTGGGTTAGTTATAGGGGTAGGTGAAGTGGGCTAGTGGTGTAGTTGGTTAGGCTTACGCTCGCGCAGTAGGTTCTACACGTCGCAGAGTGAAGTAGGTGATTACGGTCTCATATACTACTTCTGTATACGCAGCTTGAGAAAACTCATGGAGTAATTGACAGAACTTCTCATCGAAAAATTGACGAAGAACGAATATATTATGTGTTGATATTCAACTGAACAGTACGTTATCTAGTGAACGATCAATGACACTTCCCTTATATGGAAGACTATTAAAATAACATCATCATAACCATTAAATATTTTTTTCTCTCTCACGCCTTTTAACCCCCCCAATTTTTTTTATTATATATTACCCATGATCTACCACTTATCATTCAGATTGGATCTCTCTCGCAACTTATCTGCTTACATCCACGCCACTATCTACCACAACACCACTTCATATTCAGCACGTGATGTTGACAGGGCTATTTAATACGACACTATTTTCCACCAACAACACTTCATTAGTATCGGGACTGATCACTATCTACCACCAACCCACTCTACTATTCTATTACATGCACTTCTACCACCAACACCACT